TGCAGGCCGAAGATTGCATTCCCCTAGAACCCATATCTGCCGGATAAGTGAATTTCTGTTACATAAGATCCAAGCCGCGAAATGGACAGTGGGTTTCTGGGACGATCACAGGGACCCGCCAGAGCCCCTCTGTAAGCAGAACCACAACAAGGACGAACCCAGGCGAGGGAAGAAAGAAAAAAAAAGAAGAAGCAGGAGGAGGAGGAGCCAAGCATGAAGACGAACAAGAACATGAATGGAAGATTGCTTGGCATAAGCCTCGCCTTTCCCTCATTTCGGGCTGCGTCGTACCAAGAGCTCGACAGGATCGACAGCTTTGGTATTATCTGCTTTTCGGGGACAGGTTTCGATCAGATTTAAAGTACAGTACTTTCAATTCTTACTTTTGGCGATCAAAAGACTCACCCAGAATATTTAAATTAGAAGAATCGCTGGGATGAAGCCGTCTTCAAGGATTTCAAGAAATATGTACGACATTTAAATCAGTATCCCAGGGTTGGTTCAGAATTACCTTCAGTCGTGAGCTTCCCTCGTAAATAAAATTAAAAAGAATGAATTTTACATGATTTCCTGGCCAATGATCAACGTTTGCAAACCCTGGTTAAAATGCGCAAAAAAGGTACTGCGTTGAAAATTCTTTACATCCCTTCGCCGAAAGGAAAAACTGCGCATTTGCCTCTCGCGTGTTTTGCTTATTTCCAGGAAGTCAACTTGCTATCCCATATAATCATTAAACTGAATAATTGTACTGTACTCGAAAAATCTTCCGAGACAATGTTTCAAGTCAACCCTGTCCTGATGGGAGAAAAAGTAAGAGATGTTCGAACTTCGGCAATTTTTGCGTCAGTGATGCCGAATGTGAGGATTTTGATCAATAAAATACCTCAAATCAGTAAACGAAGAACCCCACAGCAGATGAGTTATTTGTATTGACCCTACATCAGTTCCGAAGATTCAGACTGAAGATTTGGGTATAAACTTTTCGGTAAAATGCTGAAAGAACTTATAAATCATATCCTTAATACTGTACATCATTTTCTCAGCGGCGATTTCCAGAAGGCAGAACCAAAAGTCCCGGAGAACAAACTATGCCAAGGCGCTCAAAGTCTAGAATCCCCCGAGGCGCTTATTATTTTCTTTTGTGATCGCGGAACAACACTTCATTATGTCTCTTTCTGGTTTCGAAGGTCCGGTTTTCTGCTTCCGGCCGGTCATTCTTCAACCGGGAATATTGCGTATCGAAAGAACTCATCATCTCATTCAATTCCCTTCTTCCGTGTACAGTACTGTATTTTACATGGGATACGATAGTTATGAAAGCTTCAGTAGATTACAGCCTTTTCACGTTGATCTCAGACCAGTTTTTTTTTTTTTTATAAATTCGTCTTTGAAATTCCCGTGGATCGAAGACACACAAAACTAAAATTTGATCATAAAATGCTCATTCCGTCACAACTGAGGGTGAATATTTTAAAATGTCTTTGACCGCCCATTTTCTCGGAAATTTTCGGATTAGCATGTGATTTTTCGTACTCAAAATTTTACGTCAATCGCAGGCAACAAAACAAAAACATTTTCGTAATAAGAATTTAGATTTCAAGTCACGAGTCCGCCCGAGAATTTCTTCCACTCGAGAGCAAAAATCGTCTCAACCAGTCTCTCGAACTGTTTACGTCAATCGCAGGCAACAAAACAAAAACATTTTCGTAATAAGAATTTAGATTTCAAGTCACGAGTCCGCCCGAGAATTTCTTCCACTCGAGAGCAAAAATCGTCTCAACCAGTCTCTCGAACTGTCCATAATCCCGATTTCTTTCCCCTTCCCCGGTTATCAGGACGTGCGGGAGATCTCGACAGAAATATCGAGGAAAATCCCGGGATTTTTCCAACGTCACCATAAATCTCCGACACCCCGACAGCAACACACCGCACACGGCAAAACGACAGCGACAAACATCCAGGCTTCATCAGAAAACTCTGACAGGAGTCGATACCAGTCTTACAACGCAGGCGTCTCCAGAGAAAAAAAAATCTTGGGATTTCCGGGGATTGAAAACCAGTGAAGGAAATCTCACAAGAGCTTTTGAAAAAAAAAAAAAAAAAAAAAGACATAACACTCTGAAGTATACGGGGTGGATCAGAGAATATTGAGAAACATTGAATGTGATATATGATACGGTATACTGTACTTTATTCTGGACGGTTGAAGCCGCCATCTTGAAACATGACGGAATTTCAAGGTTCATTCCGCGGGCGAACAGCAAGGAATCATTCCAAAATGTGTTCGATTTTTGAATGATCACGGTGGTCGTACTGATGCAGATAAACCGCAAAACTCAGCAACATCGAAGAGAGATTGAATTGAATGAACCCCAGAGGGATTACGATAATTTTTCAAGGAGTCGGATCCAAGTGATTTTTGAATGATCACGGTGGTCGTACTGATGCAGATAAACCGCAAAACTCAGCAACATCGAAGAGAGATTGAATTGAATGAACCCCAGAGGGATTACGATAATTTTTCAAGGAGTCGGATCCAAGTGTTCAGATCTTCAGAAGATATCACCGTTTTAGGAGGAAAGCCTAAATTACTTCAAGTTTATCGAGCAAATTCTTGCTTTGACTATAATTTTCTTTTAATAATTATCGACCGTTAAACTTTGATAAATTGAACCTCCCCAAGCAGAATTTTACTCAGATTCCTGTCAGAATTCCCTTAGAAACAATGCATTAAAAAGCCATTCAAAAAACACCCATGCATCAATTTTTCTGGAGGCTTTTTGGCTATTACTTTATTGACACGGGAAAGCGAAAAGCGATAAGAGATAACGATGTGCTTTGAAAGGAAGTGAAAGACTAATTATGCAAATGAACCCTTGCACCAAATTTCAGCATCACGTCATATCATCAAAAAAGCAACTGAAGGCCCAAAAAATCACCAATTACAATTTCCTATAACTATTCTTCCTTTCCGAAAACAAAAGCTAGTTTCCCCAACTCGAATTTTTTGCTGGTCCCTTGAAGTTCGATTGCAACTCTCGACAGAACTTGAACACATAAATACTACAATACCCAGGGGAAGAAGTAGATACCAATGGAAATAAATATACAGTTACATAAAATGCGACGCCTCGCACTAATTTTTGATTCTGAATTCGAAGTTTAAATTAAAGATCCATTCGCCCTAATTTGCTTCTCAAGAGCCTCAATGGCACAAGACGAAACATTCCAGCGTCGGAATTCTGTCGCAAGGAACTTTTTCGTTCCAGCAATTACCTCCATCATGATCGCAAGCAACTTTCGCCTCGGCCCAGCGACAATCTTCTCAGGTCACCTTTCGGCGGCTCCTCGCCCTTCTCCTATAAATAATACCCTTCGTTTTCTTCTTCTTTTGTGGTTGTCACGAGCTTTTCACGCGGACAAAAGCCTTTTCCGCCACTTTTAATCCAATAGTTATGGGAAAGTTCCCGACTGCGGCTGATAAGTGGAGATTAAAAAGAGGAGAGTAACGAGATTAACGCAGCTTAAAACTTTCCAAGCGCTTGGATTCCTTGTGTGAAAACTTGCATAACAAAAGTTCCCGATGCTGATGCGCAAGTAATCATAATTTTGTGCTTTCGATCATTCACTTTTAAAAATCACCGGATCCCTAGAAGGCCCTCTCAAAAGCTGTTGAGGAGTAATTATACAGTAATTTATTTTTATAAATGTCGGCATTATCAATAGTAAGTCGAGAGACAGATTCACTAGTGATTATTTTGGGAAGTTAGAAATTCAACTGGGTGGTACGAATGGATAAATTAGGGGCCCGTGTACTTAGGACAACCTTTCTTTGCATTTACTTCATCACTCGAACTAACGTACAGAATTGCGGCAACGTATCAATCCGATTTTAATTATTACAGCATTTAGTTCAAAATGTGAGTGCTTTTCATGCAACAATCAATTAGAATCATAAATTAAACATCATTCAAACCGGATTAAATTACTTATTTTACGATTTTATTCTCATGTAGTACAACTTGAAATTTTGCGTACGTTTTTTCGTCAAGACTGCGGATCAACTCAAAATGCGGCAACTTATTCGAATAAACGATGAATGCATTCGACCACAAGCTTCGGCCAATGCTTACGTGATTTGCAAAACAGAATCAGTTCTGTTTTTCTCGTGACGAGTGAACTTCAAAAAAAAAAAAAAAACTTTCAGCGTCACGAAGTTCATGCTGAGCACTGGAACGTGACATCCGTGCTTCGCAACAAACATATTCGTAATCATGATCACGCACGTTCGAAAGGATGGAAAGCCACGAAAACAATACAATACAGTACATTAAACAGCAGGAGAAATTTAAATAATAAAATGTTCACCCCATGAATCTTTGGACGATGTACAATAAGTTGAGGTGAAATTGATTAAAACTCGCGAATAAGAAACCAGGCAATTTTTTTTAAGGACGAAATTGTGTGTGCGATTTGAAAATGAGGAGCGCCATGATCAGTACGAAATCAGAGAGTAATTTTCTTTTCTTTTTATTGTTGCGAATATCTTCACTTTTTGCTTTCTTTCAAGATTTTTTTCTTTCAGGGATCGAAGATGTTTCCTGATGACGTTCTTGAAATTTAGGAGACTCCCTCTACAACAACCTTATTCAATGAATTTTCTCAAGGCCCCATAGGGCTCCTTCTTAATATTATACGAGTTCTCTACAACAAAATTCCCTCTACAACGATTATTTTGTGTCTACCTTGAATTTCGTTGCAGAAACCGTCCAAACGATTTATATTCTCCTACTACAGTAACTTTGGACCAAGGAGCACAATTGCTGATAAACGCCGTTGTGGAAGTTAAGCTTAAACAAAAACACCCGGGTTGTTATTTTCGTCCGCAGAAGTCAAAGTTGAGGAAATCCGTCGGACGGAAAAAAAAATGATCGAATAGGTATTCGTTAGTCTCCTGCTGAATCGGTGTGACCAAATAAAACTTGCGGTTCGCAACTCACCTTGGAAATGTTCAAAGAGTACTGCTTCATGGCAACTTTTTCGACTGTGCTTTCAAATCCGAAAAACGATTTAACGTCCAGAGAGGCTTCCTGCTCGAAACACGTCCATTGAGGTTCTTCCGGGTGCACCTGGAACATATAAAATTCATCCATATATTAAACAAATTGAATGAACTGGCGACAGAAAATGTTATAGGTACATTAACTAGGATTGGAATTCTTCAAATGGGGCTTAGAATACATTCGTTGATATCTTCAGAGGTTTCGAACTGATGAAAAACCCGTCCAGACTTCAAAATTACCAATACTCAGAAATCAAAATATCGTGAGTTTATTTCATGTGAAATTCTGGTCTGGGTGACCCACATCCGCGATTCAATTTTTTAATCTCTTCATTCTCACAGCTTCAGAGAAACTATCAGTATTTACCGTTTAGTTGTACAGCACTCGAAAAAATCTTTCTTGAACAACTCAGAAAGCGATGAAGTGATCAGAAACGTACTCGTTTATGTTATAAACACATTGTTTCACAGGACATTTTGAGAAAAAAATGTTTCTATTGAGCCTCGCGTTCAACACTCGCAATAGAAAAACATTCAGTAAAGTTTCGAAAACAAGATGTTTTTATTAAGCCTCGCGTTGAAAACCTGCAATTGAAACACATTCAGTAAAGTTTCCTGAATCTAAATAGATGAATAGTTTGACGCACAGTATGCCTGGAAAGTCACCTTTTAATGAAATGTTCTTCCTTTGTAAATTATTACCGAGTAATCTTCCAAAAACAAGACAAAGCGCAAAATTTAGACCGCGGCTTTTCAACGATTACGCGATGGTACCAGGTTGACATTTTTTGAACAAATTAATAAGTAAAAGGAAGAATAATAACACGTGAAGTGAAAATACACTTAGAAGAAGACCACAGACAATTTTCTACAAATTTTCTTAAGCGAAGGACTCAGTTATCCTAAACATTAGAATTCTGAAAATTTATCAAGGAATTTGTCATGTACATTGCGGAATACAATAATCACACCCTCATTTGAGTTGAGGCCACGGAAAATGCTCAGACGTTGGTATGCAAACTTAACCACAAAAAAAACTACCAAAAGGCACAACCCCCCCCCCCCCAAATAACAACAACGAAGGCCCTAAAAGCCCTCAGTTCGACGCCCGTCTTTCAAGAAACGCATATCAATCACATCCAAGTAAAGTCCCGAAACCCGGTCGGGAAATCAGCACATAAAAGCGAACCCACTTCACTCTCAAGGGGGGGGGGGTGACAAAGGAAGGCAATCTTCCACCGGTCCCATTCTCTGAGAAGATGAATCTACTCGACTCTTTCGTCAACCGCTTGCGTCAACAATCACTGAGAAACTCTCTGACGTCAGTCTAGAAATGTGTACGTCACCAACGGCTTAAGCCAGATTTAGGTTGACGCCAAAAGATAAACTTCTGCCCCACAACAATTATTTTCATCTCATAATCCGAAGACCTTTAAATGCTGGCAAGTTTTCTGTTAATCGAGATGCGATTTCTCGCCTCATCCCAGGTTACATAAAGTAACAAAGCCTCCTGATAACGACGCAGGTTTCACGGAAAATGAGCTAAATGATACGAGGATTAGCTGATTAGGGGAACCTTTTTAATGAACGAGGGATCAGACACAAAATTGCGGTCGAATTTTCTCCCACCTTGATAAATATTCAATCGAATTTGTTATTTTCACGCGTTTGTTGACCATTCAAGATGATCGGGGAAAAACCCAAAAAAATCAAAGTTAGAGTTGAGAAGATTCTTCTTTTCATCTACCGATGTGAAGCCATTAATTTTCCTCAAAACTCAGTGTTGAAGAAAAACACTTCGACGATTCCCTCATGTTGGGAATCATCGTAGAAGAATTTTGTACAATGACTGTATCAGCATTCAGAATTTACACATAATCACGAAAATTCAGTCATTTCTAAGATACTAATGAATATATCATGAAAACTAAATGGCTGCAAAGGAGTTTTTCTAGTTTTCGTGGGAGTTTCAAAAATCAGACAGAAAATAGATTACCTATTACAATGATTGATTCATAATTTTTTCGGACAGCTTTTCGGATGGGCGGAATTTGGCATGAATTTTATCGGGCAATATTCGATAAATCCCTGGCCAATTTTTCTATGCGTCCCGCACTTGAGTGCAAAGAGAAAAGAATGCGGGAATTGAAGTTGCACAGCCAGTGAAATAAAATGTACTGGCCGTATTTACACTTTTCATGAATTTGCATGCGTTGAAACTTTTAACGAACACGACCATTGACTAAAATATCTGCTTCTTTACTTCGATTACAAAACGATGTTTCCCTTTAAAAAAAAAAAAAGTATTGATCTTCGTGCGAAATGTCTTCCGGTGAGAGAGAGAGAAATTACCCAAATCAAGACAGCAATTGAAAATCCTGCGACAATGTAGAGATACAGTACTCGCTCCAAGTTTTGCTTTTGTTTGTTCGGAGGATTCTGACAAACAACTCGAAGTTTATCCAAGGAATGTCATTTCAAGCCACGCACTAGGAAAACTTTCTGAGCAATCCCTTCGCACTTCACTTCGCGTGTATATACCACATATAGATGCATGTATACCTAGTGCAAGTGCGTCACATAAAAAACGTCGTCTGTAGGCGTCATAATCACGCATCAAGTCAGGAATCATTCGTAAATGTCACATCTGATCGTGCGTGCGAAAATCGTCTCGCGGTGAATCCGTGACAAACAGGTCTCGAGTAAATATTTCAAGAATTTTAAAATAAACATCTTGGACACGAAAAATTCTGCGTCAACGTTTGACAAATCCTCGCTCGACTACTCAGTATCCGAGCGAACATCCAATTTTTTTGTTTTTTACATATGCTGAAGTATAAAGATACAGAAACGCAGCACGCAAGAATATGAACTTACACAGCGAAGGTTTTCTTTTTTCGTTTGATATTCCTCTCATATATCGTAATTTGCACCCACAGGCGCAATACTCGACTAGAAGACAAAATGATCGACGCAGAGACAGAAATACCCTAGGATGAATGGGATCTGCAAAAATTCGGCGACGAAAATAGGTACCGCACATAACATATATCTTTCAGCCAAATTTAGAATTATAGAGCGTTTCCTCGTATTTGCGAATCGCGAACAATTTGCATGCCAGGAATTCCAGGAGACAAAGGATTCATTTTATTCGCTCAAACGATGAGACGGAGCTTAAATTCAGACCAATTCCACGGAATGATGGAAATATATTTCCTTTCGCTCCGTGAACACGGTTCAGTAGAATTTTTCGGCAAGATATTTTCGTTGATTTACGGTAGACCGCGATGTTTCTCCAGAAAAATTCCCCAAAAAACGTGGATGAGGAAAAATCTGTACTGCATTCAATTTAATGTACTACACTACTACAGGATCATGTTCTACAGGTGGACTCTGAACAATGACCTTGTCTACAACGGTGTTACTCTGTTATACGAATTTTTTTGCGATCTCGTTACAATTAACTACCGGGGGCTTTAGAAAAGGTCGTTATAACTAATAATTTGTTATAAATTCTTTCTCAAAATTAATGATCGGGAAAATTTAGCCCAGGAAAACTCTTTGAAAGAGAGGATGTTTGGGTGAACTTCGAAGAATTTTTTTCTTGATACAGTACCACCTTCAATTCACGTCCCGAGAAGCAGACAAATTTGGAAAGGGAAATTTGACACTGCGCCTGCCTTCGTAAGAAATAATTCATCAGGATAATCTCAACATTTTCCTCAAAAAAAGTTTTTAATGCCGAAACTGGAAAGTTACTACAGTATTACCTGAACCTTCACTTCTATGGGTTTTCTGCCAGGACTTGAGAAGTTATACTGAAAAATGAGGCACAACGGTATAGTTGTAACGAGATTTTATTGTACGTGGGACGGTTTCGTGAAAACACATACGGACGTATCATTTAGACAAAAATAAAATGAAGGAAAACCTCAATAACCTAGTTATGCGTATTTTATGACGTAACAAAATGACGGTTGTATGGGCTACAAGTTCGTGCAATTCCGGGGTTCTCAGACGAAATGATGCCCATACCTCAGCTAATCCGACGAAATGTTCCCCGAGACACGGGCCAAAGTACAGCACAGCTCTTCGAAATGATGAGCCAACTGCGCAGAATGAAATCTTATCGCGTGCGACCAATATTTCGAAGAATACCTTTTTGCTTTGCCATGTTATTCCATCTCGGGCTTCTTATTCCTTGGCCTTGAAATGCAAATCAGTACTCCATTTGCATTCGTCATTTCGACCACAAAAAAATAATTAATCCAGGGTTACATATCGACTGCTAGGCGCAAAAATAAATATATTCAGTTGCACAAGAGTTTTTTCTTACTTAATTTCATGGTCATAATTAAAAGAGGAAATCTCATCGTTGCTTTGCGAGTAAAATTTTGCTGGTTAATTTCAATTAACGTGTACAACTGCCCAGAAGGTGGAACTCATTACTGATTCATGCTTTGATCCTTGGATACTCCCTTCATGGTATCCCTCGATTTATTGAAAAGGTTCCCGCAGTTGAAAGAGGGGGCTTGGATGTGGGAATGTTGTTGATTGAACTTTGTGAACACTGAAAAGCGGAAAATAAAGCTTTCTGTTCATTCGTTCATTACGAGTTGTCTCGCGGAAAGTTTAATCTGCGAAGAGATGATCTTGGCTATGAATAAGCAGCTCAAAATATTTAAAAATCGTTAATTTAATTTTTGGTTCTGTCTTGGATACTTTGACTCGAGAAGGACAGAAACTTCCTTTAAATCACTTGGACCAGAGGTACTATGTAAACCCTATGGCAAAGGATTGCATGAACAAAGTCAAGAGTTTTTAAACCTCCGATGAGATTTGAAAACCGTTGGTACATTTTCAAACACGGTGCCACGTTACAAAGAATTGCACATAAAAACTCTAGGCAGATTTTAAATTCATCAGTTGGGCATGCAAGCAATATGCCTGACATGCAAAATTACAAAACCACTGTAATCTTAAAAAAGTTCGAACAGTTTCTAAATTTGCCATTCATATCGAAACATTTTTGCATTTGGTTCATAGAACACTAAAATTGATTCAGAG